AGAGAGAGAGAGAGAGAGAGAGAGAGAGAGAGAGAGAGAGAGAGAGAGAGAGAGTGGATCCCCTTAACACGACTCAGACGGCCCATGCAGGCTATCTGAAGGGTCCTCGCAGACATGTAGTGCAGACCACCCACCAAAATCGAGGCAGGCAGTGAATATAAAATAGAGTACGAGCTGGCCGAATATATAGTCAAGATTCGAATTCAGGTCTGTGTCTCAGCAGTTATGGGTTGCTCACGTACCTAGGCCCTGTTGGTCTCTGCACGTGACTCTTAGGGCTTGGCTGCACTACTCACGAAATGTGCAAAATTAGAATGAATCTTCTGCAGAACGTGGAATAATACGCCACCATATGTTTTGTCTTTTGTGCATTTGGTGAGTAAAGGAATGAATCTTCTGCAGAACGTGGAATAATACGCCACCATATGTTTTGTCTTTTGTGCATTTGGTGAGTAAAGGCCGTTAGGGCCACTGCACGTATTCCTAAGGAAAGAAAAACGGGAAAAGAAAAGAAAAGCGAGAAAACAGAGAAATAGTGACCCATAACCGACATGCACAGACCTGAATTCGAATCCAGACTATATATTCTCTGGCCCCACTCAGGGAGTACAAGTTTAAAGTGTGTCTCTGCATGACATCGGGTCCTAGCTAATATGCTGTAGGGATCCGTCCGAAAAGAGGCTGGACACAACTAGGACATTTTTGTTTTTCTACTTTTTTAATCCGCCGCATCACTTGTGCGTGCGTGCATGTGCGTGCGGCACCCCGCGCATGAGATGCTCTGCAGGTATGATTCGAACACGTCTCCCTCTCTCTCTCTCTCTCTCTCTCTCTCTCTCTCTCACACACACACACACACACACACACACACACACACACACACAAAAGGGGTCCGAAAGGGGGTCCGAAATCCCCCAACACACACACACACACACACACACACACAAAGGGGGTCCGAAATCCCCCGACAGGTGAGTGCGCTGGGGGGGGCCGGCCCCCAACCGGGTGCCCTGCCCGGCCAGGCCGCCCAGGACCTCCCCCGGGCCCCTGGCGGTCACCCGGGCGGCCCGGATCCCCACTCAGAAATAAAACAAGAAAATTGTAAAAACAAAGAAAAGATAAATACAGCAAGCTGGCGGGTGGTAACCCGCAGACCAGGGATTGAGCCCTCGCGGAGTCCGTAACAGATACATCTGCCAGCACTGAAATCTCCCATTCTCAATGCAGGTTGCCGCCCAAGATGGTTTTCAGAAAACTAGCCTGTATGTCTTGCGTGCCTTATCCTGGTTTTCCTTGATCTTCCTCAGGAGTTCTCAACCACTCAGCTCCTTATTCCGTTTCCAGAAGAATCCCTTGGCAGTTGAAATCCTGTCAGAAGGTTTAATGGATCTGTAAGAAAACGAATCTGTAATAAGAGTCAATGGTCTGTTCGTGATGCGTTGTTAAGTTGCTCATTTTTATGGGAAATGGCATTGACATTCCAGCTTTTGATGCACCCTGCGGTCAAAGCAGCTTGTTGTGTTGGGCAGCGTAGCAGTTATAAAGTAGTATAGACCTTTTTGGTTTCTCTCACAGCATAGCTGTCTCCAAGTGCCATCCCCATCTCTTCCTTTAAGATACCCTGCCCTATACTTATACCTCGAGAATGGCGTAGATATCTGTCCGAAGCTCTGGATTATTGAGAAGATAATGACCTCCACTTACCTGGTGTGAATCTTCAGACTTCCTCTCTGGTCCATCACCTCATGCGCAACTGGTTGGGTTCAAAATTTCTAATCGTAACCTATGTGATAATGAAGTATTGCTGGCAGGTTCTGTTTTCACGGTGCTATTTCCCTGTAAGTAGGCAGTGGAAATCAATACGAAATCTGACTTCCGACATAGCTCTCTCCACAGGAGGAATCATTGCAGCCATTATTATGCTGTCCTCCAATTGCTGGGAGTTGCCCAAGAATCATGGAGCCTGGTAGAAGAGGGAAGGGAGCTCCAGGCCGGGGGGGGGGGAGAGGTAGTTGCTATGGTGTGAACTACTAAACTATGGCAGTTTTGTTTTCATGTTTCATCTTCTTCATATTCGTCATTAGACTCATTACTGATTTATTTCGCGTCTTTTGACTGACGATTTGTTCACTGCGATTCAATCATTTACCTTGTACTCGGCCCTTTCTCCACTATCTTCCAGGATTTCTAGTCTTCAATGCAGTGTCAACTTGCGATGCAAGCTTGGACTTCAATCTTTTCTTCTTTTCTTTTTTCAACAATAAAAATGAGAGAATAACAGAAAATGTGACAAAGCAAACTGCATAGCAGGTGACTTGTATGAATGGGTGTTCCCATTTTTCCTTACCTTGTGTCGAGTGTTTTCGTCGCTGAGTGTCTCTTCATTTTTCGTTCTGTGAAGAACCATTTGACAGGGGGATGTTTGCAGGCCCAGTAGGGTACTTCGGAGGTTACCGGACAGAATTTGCAGTGGGAATACGGTCAGCCCTTATTGTCAATGGCCTGGTAACCACATTGGATGAGAGCAATCAATCCACATATGAGTTGCAGGACATTAGTCAAGCCCAGGAAACTGCTGAACATGATGATCACTCTGTCAATTCGGCCAAAATTGCCTCAAACGCCTCACAAGAACCACAAGCTTCTGTGGCGGATGGCAGCACCAGCAAAGACAAGGTGAAATACAGTGACGTTCATGTACAACTGCTTTGATTCAAGGTATTTGATATGCTTTTTTTTTTTTTTTTCTTTTGCCACTTTTGGACCTTTTCTTGATTTATGTATGTCATCGGAGTCATCCTTGCACGAGGGCCACACTAATCTTTTTTGTGGTTCCAATTTTAATTGATCCCTTGTAGATGCCGCCTCTCAAGATTAGGCAGGTATATCATATCATCGTTGGACTATTTCATGCACATTGGCATGTTGGTTGCATACTCTTGGTGCACAACGTGAGTGCAAACGAAGTGTGCATGCGTGGTGTGCAGCCCGCATCTCACTTGTGTACTGCTCATGGTGTGCAAACACCCAAGAAGGGTAGTGACCATAATCATTGGCATAATTTAAATTACTACATTTCCTTTTTGTATTTTATTGTCCCCTTTGCAAGGAAAATGAGCAATAGGGAAATGACAGAATTCCAGATGGCAAAATCACAATGAAAGCCAGATAGTCGTAAGCTGTCCAGAAAGCAGAAATGCACTGATGTAACACCGAAGGAGGACCAAAGCAGCAAACTCAATTGTCAACGACAGCTCCCTCCTACCGGCGCTCAGCGCGCAGACTACTATCACACAGCTGCACTATACTCTCATAAAATGATGAAGCAACCAGTTGGCGTCAGCAACAACAACCGAAGTACATGCAGATTTGACCATGTAGACGTCAGCCAAGGCCAGGTACCTGCCCTCACATCACTTCCCTCATCTCTCCCTCTCATGCTCATCCTCGTCTTCTTCTCCCACGTCCTTCCTCTTACCAAGGACCACCGCCAACCCCCGCTGACCGCCCAAGCCCCAGCCTGGCTATGGAGGCTGGGCTATGGCGCTGCCTGATAGCAGCGCCTTCACTCTCTTACCAGCGCCCGCGCGCACTGTCCAGCACCTTGCGCTAGTGGCCGCAAGCAATTGCGCAAGCAGCACTGCCGCCTTGCACCGTCGTGCCCGGATGACTCCACTCGTGGTGAGCTGTTTCCTATATGGATAGTGCTCGCCCAGTTTGCTGCCTGGCTGGCTCGCTCGTGTGCCCACTAGCTTCGAGTTGGGCCAAAGTGTCTGCACCCAGGTCCATTCAGACAGTGGTGTGGGACCGAATTGGTTAAGTCAGCCCAACCACCCAGGTACAAACGTGTGGTCCGGCCTGCTTCCCTGCAATGCTGGAAGAGCCTAGAAGTCTCACGAATATTGGTGATTCTCACGAGCAAGGCGGATGTAACCAACTGGCTCGTGTAACTGTCTGGTGCTGTAGCATACTGCGTAGCCACACGGGCCCTGCAGGGCCCGTCCCGCACTCTCAGCCTAAAAGCCTAGAAACAAGGGCTTACAGGCCCCGTGTCCATGTCAGCCTGACA